AGCTTCCACCAATTTCCCTAACAGCAAGATAATCATATCCACACTGCTGAACAGGAGAGACTTCCACCCACACACCATTCACAGAGTGAATATCAGCCTCTCCAGGGACTGTGCCCTCAAACCCAATGTGTTCTTGGCCCACCACCCGACTCTCCACCAGGCAGTCCTGTATGATAACATACACCTACACAGAAAATGCAGTCCCCACCCTTGCTAAGACACTGAAGGATGTTGCCCTTGGAAGGAGCCTTACTACCACTCCAAGGGGTAACCACACAACGCAGACCCCATGCAGACTGCCAGGACCTCCTCAACCTTCAAGACCATCCAGACCTCCACCATGCTTCCACCCCCGGCTGTCAGAGAGGATGACCAGGCCACCAAATCCACCGCATCACCAACATCACAACCCAAAGCCCACACAACACTGGCCTCTGATACCCAATCAGAGAGATCGCCAGCCTGGAGGTCCTATACCCCCCCTCCTCCCAAAGGCAGAACCAAGACTACAGGAGCAGCAGCCTATTGGGCTGAACTATGCTGCAGCAGTGAGAAGAGCCACAGCCCCACCCCCCTCTGGTGAACTCAAAGAAATATTACACATGCTAAACCTGCTCTGCTCTCGCCTCATGTAGCTACATGGTGGAAGAGCAGAGACACCACAATAATTAATAGTTTAACATGTTGTATAAGGATAATATATCCTATATAATAATATAATATAAGGACAATTCTTAACAGTATTTCACACATGATACACTTTAAAATGTCACTCAAAGTTTAATATTTTATTAATTTACTTACTATACTCTTTTCGTCTTTTTACACCTTTTTTTCTTTTCATTTATTACCATTATTATTTTTTTATATCTAGTTTATTATTATTATTATTATTATTATTATTTTTCTTTTAAGGTGTTTGGCAAATTTTTTAACGGATCACACTTGGAGATTAAATTATTTACAATAACATTTGGAACATTCAAAGTCTGAGATCATCAGCTTTTGGTTTAAAGAGCAGAAATTCAGATTTTAATAGAGTTAAAAGACTCTGACATCATAGTTTTACAGGAGACATGGTGCAGAGAAGATGTGTCCACTGGTCCTCTTCACGGCTACACTGAGATTATTATACTATCAACAAACGTCCCACAATAACCCAAGGCAGAGATTCAGGAGGCATGATTATATGGTGTAAATCTGAACTGAGCCAGTCCATCACAGTTATTAAAAAGAAGAATCTTACATATGGTTGAAAATTAACAAAAATATTATTTGTGCTGAGCAACATGTCTACATGTGGTCCATCTATATACCTCCATCAGAATCCCCCTACTACAACCCAGATATTTTCTCTGTTCTTGAGGAAATTAACCATTATAAAACCATGGGAAATGTATTACTCTGTGGGGACTTGAACGCTCGAACAGGGGAAAGAGCTGACACTATGAACACCCAGGGAGACAAACACTTACCTGGAAGCACCTGCTTCCCCCTCCCTGAATGTCCTACTAGAAAGAGCTTTGACAAGCTTACTAATACAAGCGGTATGCAGCTTTTACAGCTCTGCCGTACACTAGGTCTGTACATAGTCAACGGCAGGCTACGAGGGGACTCTCTGGGTCGCTACACTTACAGCTCAGCTCTTGGCAGTAGTACAGTAGATTATTTCATTACAGATCTAGATCCAATGTCTCTGAGAGCTTTAAAAGTCAGCCCCCTCACACCCCTCACAGACCACAGCAAAATCACAATCTATCTGAAAAGGGCCCAGTCTAACTCTGGAGCCCCTAGTGCCTGTGAACTGTTTAACAGCACATACTCACACAGATGGACCCCTGACAGGATGGGGGCGTACCTAAAGGCACTGGAAAATCAAAACATACATGATTTAACTCATTTATTTCTAACGGAAACATTTCCCCATAATAGTTCTGGTGTTAATTCTGCTGTGGACAAAATCAATTAAATTTTTCATCATTTGGCACTATTGTCTAATTTGCAAGTGCACTGAATGCAAAAACCTAAGGAAAACTTTAAGGAAATTATCAAATGAAAAGCATAGAGACCCAGATAACCACAACATACGCTGTCAAAATGAGGCCACTCTGAAACAATACAAGTACAACCTAAAAACAAAGAAAGAACAACACAGCAAGAACCAGCTCTGTAAAATTGAGGAATCCCTCGCATCCAACCAGTTCTGAGAGAAATGGAAGAACCTAAACAAAATCCAGCAGGATGAATTGGCGATCCAAGTGGAAATATTTGGATTAATCACTTTAGTGAATTATACAGTAATATTACAAAAAATGATGATCAGTACAAGATATTCACAAAATGGAAAACTCTGGAGGCGGTGATAAAAGACAACCAAAACCCTCTAGATTACCCAGTAACAGAATTAACAGAAGTCATCCAGTCCCTGAAAGGAAAAAAGGCTTATGGTATTGATGGAATCCTCAACGAAATGATCAAATACTCAGACCATAAAATCAGATTGGCTATACTAAAACTAATCAATACTATTCTGTCAACTGGAGCTTTAAAATCTCAGTCCAATTCTCTTCAATCTATATATCAATGAATTAGCGAACCAACTAGAGCGTTCCTGGGCACCTGGCCTCACCCTGAACGACAGAGATCAGAGGTCTGCTATATGCAGATGACTTAGTGTTGCTTTCACCTACTAAAGAAGGTTTGCAGCAGAGATTTTGTCAGACCTGGGCCCTGACAGTAAACACAACAAAGACTAAGATAATGATCTTTAAAAAACAATACATAAATCAAGTTACACACAATTTCTATTTAGACACCACTAATTTACAACATACAAAAAAACTACACTTACCTTGGCCTCAACATTACATACACAGGAAACCTCACCATGGCTGTGAAATATCTGAGGGACAAAGCAAGGAGAGCTTTCTATGCAATAAAAAGAAACATTAAAATCTATATTCCAATCCAAATCTGGCTTAAAATTTTCCAATTTGTACTAGAACAACTAATTCTATATGACAGTGAAATTTGGGGACCAAAACTAAATAATGAATTTGACAAATTAGACAAAACAATCATAGAATCTTTCCACACCGAGTTCTGTAAGAGCATCCTGTAGGTGCAGAGAAAAACACCAAATAATCTGTGCAGAGCAGAGCTGGGCCTATACCCCCTCCTACTAAAAATACAGAAAAGATCAATTCAATTTTACAATCACTTAAAATCCGTTAACCCCCAGACATACCATCACAAAGCCCTAACATACCAGGAGCTGAAACCAGAGAAGAGTCCCCTCATCCAGCTGGTCCTGAGGCTCTCTGCAGTAACATGTCCCCAACAGCCTCAGGACAGCAACACCAACTCAATCAGACCAAACCAAATTGTCAACAAGCAAAAAGAAAAAAATATTGAATACTGGAAAGAAATGACCAAAACACAAAGTAAATTACAATGTTATCTTAGTCTAAAAAGAGAATTCACACTGGCAAATTACCTGAGCACAATAAAATGTCCTAAATTAAGAAAAATGTTGACAATGTACAGACTGAGTGAACACAGCCTGGCCATAGAAAAGGGTCGCCACAGACAGAACTGGCTACCAGAAGAGGAGAGACTCTGCTCCCAGTGTGACAGAGGACAGGTAGAGACAGAGCTGCACTTTCTAACCTCATGCCCTAAATATAAAATCTTGAGGCAAAAACACTTCCCAAACATTTCCCAAATATACCCTGAATTCGAATTTATATCAGACATACAGAAACTCCCCTATTTACTGGGAGAAATGCCAAAAAGTCAAATTATTGCAGCAAAATATGTCTCCTCATGCCACGAACTGAGAACAACCAGTGGAAACTCAGATACATGTATAAAATAATTGATTGTTTTAGTTGTTTTTTGTTGTTTTGTTCACGTTTGTTTTTTTAATTTTAATATATTTTAATATTATATATATTTAAGAATTTGTTATTACTGTTATATTGACAACAGACTACTTGTTTTAACTGTAGCCTGTTACTTCACTACTGTTTTAATGACATTTTTAGTTGACACAAACTGATTGATTCATTGTAATTAATTACTTATTGACTGAGATTGATCGATTGTGACTGTGATTGAGTCAATCATAGTTACAGTATTACCAACAGTATAGATTATAATTAATTTATTGTAAATTTTGTTTTCCTTTATTTTTATTATTTTTAATTCCAAACGCTTGCTTTGGCAATACAGTGTTACGTCATGCCAATGAAGCCATTTGAATTGAGAGAGAGAGAGAGAGAGAGGGGGAGGGAGAGAGAGAGTTAACAGTAGTGACTGATGGGGATGGTGATGATGATGAACATGAAGAAGAGCCACATCGATGAGCAATGATAATAGTAATAACAGTAGTAGTAGTAATAATAATAATAATAACAATAATAATAATAATAATAATAATAATATTAGCAATGAGAGTCAAGCAGGACCATGGCAGCAGGCTCCACCAGGATCCATGAGAACTTGCGAGACGAGAACTCCAGGGAAGAAGTGAAGTTAGTAACATGCATTAATGGGACATGAATGAGTGCAGAAAGAGAGAGGATGAGAGGATCTCAGTGCATCATTGGAAATTCCCATGGTAATCTAGGCCTATAGCAGCATAACTAAGGGATGGTTCAGGACTCACCTCACCAGCTATTAGCCATAGTCTTGTCCATTATACTACATAAATGAATACATTTTAGAGATCAGTTGTCTGATAAAGACAAAAATGCTGTTTTGATGCATTTTACTATTGAATAGCCTTAATAGCCTTTACATGCTTTATACATGGACCAAAGTAAAAAAGACAATGACTGTTTGCATTTGGCAAATGTTTAATAAATATAGCTTCAGCAGATGCTGAAGAAGCCACATGTCTGCCTGTCTCATTTCTTTTTCCTGTTCTCTCAGGCACACACACCTGTTTGCAGGCTCTATCAAACTGAGACCTATAACAAAAACCAAGTAAGCGGACAGTGGTGATAATTTAGCTTTAATAAGGAACATGAACAATGCCAAGAAGACTTCAAAGTGGAACAAAATTGTGGTGTGACATTACATTAAACCCAAGCGAAGATAATGACCAATTATTATAGTTTAGTTGCAGGTTGTTGTGGAAGATTCAGTGTTCCTCAGCAGACTGGAGGTGCTCTTCAGCCTACAAATTTTAGACATACACAAACTGTAAAATGAATTGTATCCTGATTATATTCTCGAAGTTCAAAACAATATTATAACAAATAACTGGGAACTGTTGGGTCTCTGTAAATAATTTTATAAGGAGTACAGTCTAGACTCTGGGCTATTGCTACTGTTGTCATCACACAGGCTGGATATACAGAAGTAAGAAGATCAATGAAAGGAATCAGATTTTAAACAGTTTGTAGTTTTATTGGAAGGCCCACACAGTCTGACACTGACTTGGAACAAATAGCAAGGTTAGCAACATTAAGGGAGCTTGAATTGTGTGTTTGTTGTGTGTGAACAAAAAAAAGAGAAAGCTTAATCACAAAATCAAGAACAAAATTCATTAGAATTGGGGAGCAGACCCATCTCACAACCCTAAAGTGGGAAAATGTGAACTCAAAAAGAGTATAAATTAATTTCTCTTTGTTATTAGGGGCTATTTCTGAGGCTGTAGAGAAGAGAGGAGACTTTTCAGAGAGACAGTGCTTAATATTGACTTAACTATAGTTAAGAACTTACATGTTAGTGATCCTCTCTAATCTGTCTTTGAGGTCCTCCTGAACAAAGAAACAGAAGGAACAAGAAAATATGCTTCTAGCTCACAAACAAATATTGGGCAATGTGGACTGAAGAAAGACTTCCAGCTACACCATGAACTGGACCAAAGGGGTAGACATGCATGTAGATGGATAGCTAGTTTCTTGTATAATTATTCTCTATGTGCTATAATAAAACACTATTTTAAAGTACAGTGAAGACATTTGAACATTGTTAATAGTACGACAGGCCCACTGCTTTCTGTTAGTTTGCTAATGCCACTAGCTAACATTGTTAAAATGTATTATGTCTAGCTTATTTGTAAGAGAAACAAACTTGACTTTCTTATTTAAATGTACTCAGGGAAAAAAAAGCAGGGAAATTACTTCATCATTTAAAAGCTGGGGTACCAGATAACCAGTTCTGTGGTGAGGGAGGGAGGTGAGGGCTTTGCTTCGTCTCACCTTTGAAGTATCAGACATGGAGCTGGAAGAATAGGAGGAGGAAGATGACGGACATGGCGGAGGGGCACTTAACTAAGATATAGAGATGAGAAAGCAAAGGGAGATGCAACAGAAATGGTAATTTATGTGAAAATATGCTTAGTCAATGATTCATCTGAAAACTGGCATAGTGCTAGTTTAAAGCTAAGAAACAAAATTTTTACATGGAGGTGGAATTAAACTTGTCCTACCTGTGTATTGCTCAGTTCTAGTTTAGTTTCCAGTAAAAGGACTCTGCTCATCAGATTTTCCCAGCTCTTACTAGATATGGTTATGACTTGTCCCTCATTCTGGAATACAATGATAAACACAAAAGGTGGCTGCGATTTGATGTTTTATTACATTTTCTTGGCTGTCTGTCTGCACAGTGAAGGAAAAATACTAAACAAATGGCATAATATATTAAAGAAGAATGTCTTCTCAACCTTGTCTGTGTTTTTCTGTCTCTCAAGTTCATCCAGACGTTTTTCCAAGATACTGAGCTTGTGTAGCCCAGACAGAAAACTATCTAGTTGAGCTTCCAGTGTTGAGAGCCTTTTTTCCACCTTTGATGACTGAATGACACAAAGAAAACAGTAATATTACATTTTATACTGACAGTGTTCAACAGGCAACCCATTAAGTTGGGGGAGGTTTCATTTTGTAGTTTTTAATGTTTAAAAATGTATAGTGTTTAAAGTTTCAGGATTAGTTTTAGTTTTATTATAATATGGGGGTATTTGTCAGGGACAAGATTTAAGAAGTTCAGAATATATATTACAATACAAACAACACTTTATGAATGCAATTGACTCACAGTTATGTAGACATCCCCGTCTTAAACAAATGTACCAATGCCTCCTCATGCTTGTTGTGTTTACAAATTTCACCAAATTGACAAAGACTAAGGGTGGCTCAGAGGTAGGTCGTCCACTAATCGGAAGGTTGGCTGTTCGACCCCCGGCTCCTCTTGCTGCATGTCAAAGTGTCCTTGAGCAAGATACTGAACCCCAAATTTCTCCCGATGCTGTGCATCGGTGTATGACTGTGTGTGAATGTGGTGAGCAGTTGGCACCTTGCATGACAGCCACTGCCATCAGTGTATGAATGGGGGTGTGTGTGTGGCATTGAGTGGTTGAAAGACTAGAAAGTCTGGTAGTTCTCTAAAGTCTAGTTTTTGTTTTTATTTCTGTTCGCTAAAATGTTCTTTCCCCAATCTATTTTTGTTTTTAGTTAACTGTAATAACCTTGGTGACAACCCTTTTAACCCTGTTGGCAATACAACGTGATTAATACATACAATACAATACAAGTAAGTAAATATTCATTGATTTCCATTGACCTCCTCTTTAATGCTCACAACCTGTTTTTATGGCATTTTTACTGGCTCCATTTATTTGGCAAACTGGTCTTAACTTTTACTACGTTGAATCCATCAACTAACATCTATCACAAGCTTTTGGTTAATCTGTATACTGATTTGGTAAATTCTTACGTGAAGAATGTTATCTTTGTCCTCCTCCCCTCCCGCCAACTCTGCAACCACACTTCCAGGAGAATTGCAGGAGAATGCTTCCACATGTAGTGTGTTTGTGGGAAAAGTGGAGGGATTTTCTATGTGATTCACAACAATTGGCCTATTGGACACCTGAAACACATAAAAACAAAATGGCATTCAACTAAATTCACCAGTTCACATTTTGAATCATTCATCATCTGTCTAACTCAGCACACCTTTCTGTCAGCAGCACACTTTTCTCTTAATTATGGTCTCCTCTACCTGCTCTTGTACAGCACTTTGGTCAACAAGAGTTGTTTAAAAATGCTGCTTTATAAATAATTTTGATTTGATCTGTGACCATGTACTGCCTGTTTAATACAAGCAATAGTCTTAAAGTATGAGTAGCTTTCAGGTTCAAGGCCCTTGCATCTTTTTCCATACTGAGTAAACAACAAATTGCGTTACCTGAGAATAGATCCATTCATAATAAACAGCTGATTTGTTTTGTGTTACGGCTTGTAACAATCTGTATTCTAAAAAACTGTATATGTATATTTTTTTTAAATTATTGAAATTGTAAAATGTTTATTTTCATAGCAGTCAACACCAGCTCTGTTCCTCAAATGAAAGAAGTCCAAGGTTTTTTTTTGGTGAATCAAGAGAGCCACAGCTATACAACACTTTGCAGTACTTACAGTCTCGGCATCAGTCAGCGTTGGCTGAGCTTCTCCTCTGTCATCATTGTGTGAGGGAGGGCATCTGACTCTGGGCTACAACACACATACAAACACAATTCTGTTACACTTAACTTTTGGGGGCAGATGTGGCTCAGAGGTATAGCGGGTCATCCACTAATCGGAGGGTTGGAAGGGTCGGAAGACTGGAAAGGCGCTATACAAGGACCAGCGCCAATTCATAACAGAAGTTATCTCAGGGCATATCTAGGTGGGTGGTCTTCTGCCTCGACCAGTTGGGGTGAGAGAGAGAGAGAGAGAGAGAGAGAGAGAGAGAGACAGACACACACACACACACACACACACACACACACACACACACACACACACACAGAGACAGAGACAGAGACAGACAGACAGTTGCATGGCAACAACAACAGTAGCAACAACCACACTAACAGTAGATGATGACGACGACAACAGCGACGATGGGGGACAATGAGCAGTGACAGTAGTAATAATGATGATGATGATGATGATGATGATGATGATGAAAATGATGACAACAACAAATGCTACAACGATGGGGAATGATGAATACAATAAGAGTAACAATAAAAAGAAGATAATCAATATTAATAACATTAGGACCATGGCAGGAGGCACCACCAGGATCCATGAGAACCTGCGAGACGAGAAAGCACAAGAACTCCGGGGAAGAAGTAAAGTTAGTAACATGCATTATTGGGACATGAAAGGGTGCAGAAAGAGAGAGGAAGAGAGGAGCTCAGTGCACCATGGGAAATCCCCTGATAGTCTAGGCCTATAGCAGAATAACTAAGGGAGGGTTCAGGACTCACCTGATCCAGCAGCTCATGAAGTCATTGCTACTTAAGTTTATGGGGATATGTGCCTCAATAGAGCTGTGACTCTCTGTCAGCCTGGCTACAGTGCTGAAGAGGAACCTAGGGTTGTTCTTATTTTCTTCTATTAGTGCTGAATAATAGGCTCCTCTGGCATTACGGAGGGCCTTTCTATAAGTTTTAAGATTATCATGCCAAATTGAGCGATATTCTAATAATAAGAGCGCCATTTCCTTTCCGACTTCCTTTAATTGGCGGGTTTGGTGGTTGTACCACGGTGCTAGTCTCCTATGTTTTAATATTTTCCTTTTTATAGGAGCGATAGAGTCTAATGTTGATCGTAGTGAGCCTGCAGCACTATCAACAAGTTTATCAATTTCTGAGGGATTAAAGTTATTATAGGACTCTGTTATATTCAGACATGGCATTGAATTAAACACTGATGGAATCTCCTCCTTAAATTTAGCAACAGCACTGTCAGATAGACATCTGCTGTAGGAAGTTTTGCCTAATGGCTTATAATCTAATAATAGAAATTCAAAAGTTATTAAATAATGGTCAGATAGAAAAGGATTATGTGGGAAGACTATTAAATGTTCAATATCAATGTCATATGATAGAACAAGGTCACAAGTGTGATTTAAACAATGAGTTGGTTTATTTACACTCTGACAGAAGCCAATTGAGTCTATTAATGATATAAATGCGTTACTGAGGCTGTCATTGTCAACATCCACATGAATATTAAAATCACCTACAATAATTACTTTACTAATATTAACTACTGAGAATTCAGATATAAAATCAGAGTACGATCCAGGAGCGCGGTACTCCACTAAACCTTGTGGCAGTACCAGCTGCCAACTGGTTGTATGTCTGCCTTGGTTTTCAATCAACAAGAAAAGGATGAATGCTTAATCTGAAACCCTAGTGAACTTGCTCCACTCGTTTTCCAACAGAGGGCTGGGCTAGCCCTGCTCAGATTTACCTCTATCCTCTTCTTGTGGTAATAACCATGCACTGAGCTTGTGTTGGCTTTAGTTAATGTAGATTAACAAATAGAAGCAGACTGAAAGCAAACCAAAATACAGGGCAGGGTGGGAAAATTACTTTTTAAAAGTTGTGTAACGTTTAGGAGGATCCTTTGGCAGAAATTGAATATTCATAGGCATGTTTTCAATAGTGTATAAAAACATGAAAATAAAAATCATGTATTTGTTACCTTAGAATGTTATTATGTATAGAGGGAGTGGATACTCTTCTACATGTTGAACCACCATGTTTCTACAGTAGCCCAGAACGGACAAACCAAACAATTGGCTCTAGATAGGGCATTTCACATTTTTCACTGTAGTTTCTCCTACACGCTTGGAAGGCAAGCAGTTCAGTGCTAGATTCTACTTTATCATTTATTTTAGTGTTTCCCCTATATTCATTCAGGAGCAGTACATCACCGCTGCTGTCATTACTACCTAAGTGTCTTAAAGTTAGTAAATTAGTAATTTTGGCATTTCATTGTTTATCAATGTCTACAGAATGTCTCTGAATAATCTATAATTCTTCTGAGGTCATTTTAATTAGGTTTTTCATACCATTATAAGGCTAAGGTGAAGAACCCAAGCTGAATTAATTTAAAATCAATTTGAAGAACATCAAAAGTACCTAAATGACTTTTCTCAGTGGACTGCTTTAGTAAGTCTTGTCTTTGTGTGTTCTTTGATTATCTGCTCTAGCTTTTCCAACCTTGCACATATGATAATAATGATTATTAAATTATGATTATTACTTTATTGACCCCCAAAAGTCTTGCACAAACCTAGGAAAAATGCTAAAAAAGCTATTCTGATGTGCATGTATACAGGCCAACATAGTATGCTTGATGGTGCACTGCTGCTAAAAAAAATTCTGGGGGAACATTATGCTGTTATTACGTGTACATTTTGGTTTGATGTTTGTTAACTGCCTTGTCTTTGCCTGAGGACCCCCTTGACAATGAGATGGTTCATCTCAAGGGGTTTATCCTGTTATTAAATTTTGAGAATAGACTGCCACTAAATCTTACAGAAATGTGAACATTTACCCGCCACTGACAGATACAAATTCAGCCACTCATACACACTGGGCAGCTGTGGCTCAGAGGTAGAGCGGGTTGTCCTCTAATCAGAAGGTTGACGGTTTGATCCCTCTTGCTGCATGTCGTGTCATTGAGCAAGACATTGAACCCCATTATCAGTGTATGAGGCACGATATAAGTACAGTCCATTTACCATTTACTCAAAAGAAAATATTTATTTTGTGAAATCTGAAATCTCCTGCCAAATAATGTTATAAAGAGTTCGGTCTAGACCTGCTCTATTTGAAAAGTGTCCTGAGAAAACTTCTGTTATGAATTGGCGCTATACAAATAAAACTGAATTGAACTTCTCTTTTGGCAGGAGGTGCTAATTTATCAATTATTGTCTCAACGTTCTCCGGTGCTAATTTATCAATTATTGTCTCAACGTTCTCCGGTGCTAATTTATCAATTATTGTCTCAACGTTCTCCACAGCACACAGTTCTCCTCACTTCCTCCTCTACTCTGGCCTACCTGCAATCTGTCCTTTGGTAATGGTAAATGGTAAATGGACCTGTTTTTATTGCGCCTTTCTAGTCTTCCGACCACTCAAAGCGCTTTTACACTACGTGCCACATTCACCCTTTCACACACACTCACTCAGCGATGGCAAAGTCCATCGAACAGAAACTTACGCATTCATACACATTCACACACTGATGCACAGCATCGTCAGCAATTCGGGGTTCAGTATCTTGCTCAAGGACACTTTGACATGTGGTGGGAGGAGCCAGGGATCAAACCATCAACCTTCCGATTAGTGGACGACCCGCTCTGACTCTGAGCCGCAGCCGCCCCTTTGGTAGGCTCATAAAGGTAAGACACTCCATCATGAGATTGACAACCAATCCAAAACGACAAATGACAACCTGTGACTGCCACACTAGCAACAGGGCTAGAGAAAAAAAACTTTGGAATGACTTTTGAACCATATACTAATTGAACCATGTACACCGATTTAAATTGTCATCTGTCATTAAGTAGACAATTCAACCTGATAATAGTTTGCTGAATATATGGTGTCTTCATTATTGCTAATGGGACACCCTTCTATTGCACCCCTAATTATTAATTATAATTAGCCTGATGACATAGAGAGGGGGAGGTAGGGGGGGATTCTAATATGATGCTTGCTGCAGATTTGCATATTGAGTGAGTACAAAATCTCATATTGTTTTATAAGGAAAAGCAGATATGCTTTGCTGCCTTTAAAGATACAGATTTAAGTTGTAGATTAGGAATCCTGAATTTAAGACATACATATACACATAAAAAAAAGGCTCTGTACCTTCTTGAGTTGGTTGTGTTTCTGCAGGACCATGTTAATGATGTCACAGGTGACAGAGATTTTCCTTTGAGAGAACCCCCACTGGAGAAACTGCTGCTTGGTCAGTACAGGCTTATAGTGGAAGATATCTCGTAGTACCTACACACACACACACACACACACACACACACACACACACACACACACACACACAGTAGGTGAGTAGACACTAGCCCTGTTTAGACCTGGTTTTAACATGCGTATTGAGTGATCTGATCCGAAGTACAGGTGTAAATACACCCAAGACCAATGACGCATTGAGATCCAATCGCTCAGACCAGACCTTGGATAGCGCCAGGGGTCCTCAAAAAATTTGGTGGAAGATTAGGGAGAATTCTAAAAAGATTATCGCACTAGCACTATCAACAAGGTTATCAATCAATTTAAGAGTTGTTGAGAGAGGAAAAACTTAATACACTTAGTGTATGCTGTCTATGTCTAATTCTTAATTATTTGGGGCCTTCTTGGAAATTCGGCAAATGTTATACATGAAGTTAGTTCTTTCTTTGTGTCAGTTTTTCCCAGCGTGTTGGCTGGAGCCAGACACGAATGATGCTCCGTGGTTCAAGCATGCAGTGTCTGCATAAAGAATATTTCATTAAATGCTCTTCAATAAAGTTATTTGTTTAAGCCTTTTGAGTACCTTTCCATAGCCATATCTGTGTATAAATAATACACAATCCATAGGAAAGATTTATTTTTATTCCAGCTCAGAAATCACATAAGCCATATTAAAACATCCGATTTCCACACAGTCAGAGAAAGTAAAAGTGTGTGTCCATGCTTCCTAAAGGGAGGTGAATCAGATGAATCGAGATTAAGAAACTTGACAGCAATTTGTAATGTTGCATTCAACAGTCTTTGTACAACTGTGAAAACATGGTGCTCAGAATCTGTGTGTGTGTGTGTGTGTGTGTACCTTATAAAGCGTGTCAGTGAATCTGAGATCAGTTTTGCCACTCAGCTCAAGTCCAGTCTCCATTAGTTGCTCAGCAAAAGGTGGAGAGAAGGAGGTGAGAGTGAAACTCACTATTGGAAGAAAAGCTGAGGGATCTCCTTTGGAAAGGCTGGAGGAGAAAGAAAGATGCAAGACTGTGAGAAAAACTACAACTGAATACAGAGTCTTGTATGTGATGACACTGCATGCTGCCAATAAATAGTTGTCAATCAAGTTTACACACACAGCTGTGTTTAGGCGACATTCAGCTACCAAATTCGAGCATGTTTTTTTTGTTTCTTAGTGTGCAATTGCATTAGTCAGTAGTTGGTAAAGTCAACAGACATGTTTTGCTTAATGAAGTGAATATAAACTGTGGCAACTGAACAGTTGTGTATTACATTTTATCTGTTACATGTTAAAGCTATATTATGTAACATTTCCACATTAAAATGTGTATAAACACTAGACCTATGTTCTATATGTAGTTGAGTTGTGTACTCACATTATCCCAAATGTTTCCAACGATGTTCAAACTCATATATTTTAACAAACAACAACTAGGTTTGGATGCTGATCAAATGGTAATGAGACAACAGGAAAAATAAAAGGGAGAAGCCTGGACCCATGTGCAGTATCTATTCATTGGGGCAATAGTGATGCCTTGTGGCCAACAGTTGACATTACAATAGGCATTCCTCACAAAGTCATAGGGAGCATATGTCTTTAACAAGTAATGTGCAGAGTAGTAACATTTATTCCTGAGAAAGAGGCCATGTTGTTCATATTCACCAAACAGCAAGTTCCATTCAAGTCAGAAAAAGTCCCCTAAACTGACTGTTCTTCATTGTAAATATCATTAACATTCCTCTGTTAGACATGCAACCAAGGTTCCTACACATTTTCCATTTCAAAATTCCACACTCTTCAAGACTCAAATTTCCAGAGTTCTCCATTGATATTTAGTACAAATAGCTAAATGTTCATTATGGAAATAAATGCCTTTAAAATCCAACTATTAACATGTTAAATTCCGGCTATGTATGCCGTTACAGTATGTGGCCAATTAATTACCAAAAGATTGTAACTATGTCTTGTAGCGTATAAAAATCAGCTTTCTTAGCCATCCAGGCTTTATATTTGGGATTGTCAAGCCAGAAAATGCGCATGTACCGATTGTGGCTGTTCAGTCCACACTCCTACACTGAAAGTTGGACACACATCTCAAAGCCCAAAGAGTACGCATCCATAAACGTTACCGTATGCAGGAAAGATAGTCCATTTACTTTTCTTAAAACTGCATCACAGCCGAGTTCATAAATGTTCAGACAAGCTTAATATATGACTATGTGTTAAACTATAATGTGCGATTTTGCAGATGTCTGGATTTGGTTCAGTTATCAGACACTGATAAACGGCTGTGACATTCAGGTGTAAAACCAGCTTTGTGTAGGAGTGCGTGTGTTCAGTTGCAACCATCGTTCTTCCTTTGCTTTCTACAATATCAAGCTCGCTCTGGCCCATGCTCTCTCACACATTAAACTTTTTGGCTGCACAGGCTGCCTGTTCTAAACACCATGACCTTGCATGATCAATCTATTTTTTAGAATTCTGAAATCTTATATTTTAGATAACAAAATAGGGACAACAGACTGGAAACACAATGTTTTTCTCAAATCTAATTCCATGCTTTTCCATACTGCGTAGGGTTCCTGTGTAATCTTTTATATATTCCAATAGCCTTTGCAGTTGAACCTTTGGTAAAAATGCCATTTTGTGCTACTAATAATGTTTTGGAAGGTTTGTTATACTTTAAAGAAGCCATTCTCAACCTTTTCTCTGCTGTACCCACACACACCCGTCAGATGAAATACCCCTTCATCGGCACCGTCCATCATGTTCTAAACATGTTTATTTTAATTGTTTTAAACTAGATGTTATTATTTTTTGTGGGCCAGTATGTATACAGAGGCTTTGGGTCCCAAAGCTTCAAGCCACCAACCCAAAACCTCTGTATTTGACAATGAGACTCAACAATCAACTAAATCTTTCTTGGCTCTGATTGGTTGTTTTCATTCAGCTGCAGTGGACACTTAGGGTTGCTGAACTTTTAAAGAGCAAAAGTACAGCATATACAATTTGTGTGTGTGTGATTTTGTGTCGTGTAATACTGTTATTACTGTATTATTAGATACTTTGTATTTCTAATGTAGCGTTACTGGAAGTTAAACGGCCTACCCATTGTAGTCGACAAATCCTGGATACTTGATCGCCCGCAGGAGAGTTTCCAGTTTACGAAGGTAACCTTGGACATCTCCAGTAGACAGCATCTTTATCTGTAAGCAAGATGGAGAGGCGCCAACTTAAATGGCTATATCCATGGCTAATGTATCAAAATATTAGCTATCTAACGTTATATTTCAAGCTACAGCCAGCTATGATAACGTACACATCTGTGTTATGGCAACGCAAATAAGGTAACGTTAGTACACGCAAAATTAGACATTAGAATTAGAAATTACACACTAGCTGCTTTGTTACATGAATATTCAATTCAGGAACTCTTGTTTAATATATTACTTTACAGCTAACGTTACTCACCCCTGTTCCAGACAATAAGTCGAATGAAACTCATTTATAGCTAACGCTCGCTAGAGTTGTTGGTGTAGTGCTCGTTTTGTTTCTGCCGGGTGATCACGTGGATCAAAAGCGCAAAGCAGGATTGGCTGTCGCACAGGTTTTTCCACGTAATGTAATGACTTGACGTCAGTGACGTAGCTTGTACGCGCCACACTGTTTTTTATTTTTCCATCCTGTTAAGTTTATCAATTTATCAGACCGTATGTATTTACATAGAGAATTAATGCTTTCACTAACTATTGTAAAATCGTACATTTTCTTTCAGTTCATCTGTTTCTGTGGTGCCAGGGTCGAGAGAAAGGGGAGGGCCCGAGGTGACAGGAGGAGGAGGAGGAGGAGGAGGAGGAGGGTGGAAACACATGATAATTGTGTTAGTTAAGTTAGATTACAGTATTAAAGGTTCCCCCTGAAGCCAAGGAGCAACTGGCCTTTTTTATTTTTACTTGGCTCCATGGAAATGACAACTGGATACGCCTGATAGGAATAAACCCTATTTGCAGCTGCCCTTGCAGGTCTGGTCGTCAGAGGAATTACTAACTCAGGTAACGTTAGCTCGAGTTACGGGGCTGTGTCGTACGCGTTCGAAAACACTGCGCCATGTTTGTAAAAGAAACAAGATAAGTGTTCTTTAACAAGGCAGAAACATCAACCAGCTTCGTCAACTTCAATTAGCTTGGTAAGCTAACTCGGGGATTATCGAGGAACAGTGTGATTGATAACCAACTCAACCAATGACATTCCATCTTGAATGTTGTTGTGATATGGGTAGCCAATGGCATTGAAGTGGATGAGGGACTACAGCTCAAAGTACCTTGCTTTCTCGACTTTCCAACATTGATGTTTACAACTCTGGGATTGACTTGTTTATGCAACACAGCTGACGTTAGACAGGCTGGGAGAGAAAGGACGACTGAGTTTATTGGCACACGTACAAGTCACCCACAAAGCTCATTTGGAAGTTTATCGGCACAGAGCTCTAACAATGGTTTGGGTAGATTCTGTTATTAATGTATCAGCAGGGGTATGTGCATATTTTATGTCAGTGGTTGGTATACGATATAATGTCATGTTAATTACACTTCAATGCTGTCATATAATTGTAAATTAGATTCCTAATTTATCCAGAAGGAAATTTCATCAGCATCCAGAAGCTTATAGATGACACATACAAAAAAACAGATGACACAGGAATATAAGAATAAAACACAAGAATGAAATGGAATAAAAACACAGCAGTAAGTGATCATCTAGAGATCAGAACTGCAGAGTATGTGCTAATGGTGGTAGTGCAAAATGTAAGGTGATTACAAAGTGAAAAACAGTGATAACTATGGGTTCTATAAAATAAAATACAGCTTAAAATAATTTATATGAACAAATACAATGTAGATTGTGCATAGGCTAACATGGCCAAGTAACTAGCAGTCCAGTAGATGTACAAAGAGTGATAATATTTAGTAAAAGTATAAGAGATCAATATATATACAAATATTAATACAAATGTGCATATGTCTAATATAACTGTCTGTTGAGCACTGTGCATTGTGCAATATTGGCACACAAAAAAACACAGTTGCGGTGATCAAACATTTGATTCCATTACAAAATATACATTATTATACGGCTCGGTCTTAAACAAAATATTCAGTGTTCTCTCCCAAGCTTGGCGCAAAAAGTTTGCTACAGGAATGGCTCCCTTCTTGAATTCAATTCATTTTTCATAATCATCATAAATGGAACACATTTTACTAAAAAGCACATCTCTTGTGTCCTTGTAGACAGGACAGCAAAACAAAAAGTGGACCATAGGAAATACTAGGAATATTACAGGAAAATAACAGGTCACCTGTTTACAAAGTGGACTTTAGTCTTGTGCAGACAAGAATAAGTTACAAATTGCATCCATACAGTAGGGATTGATGTGGAGCACTGGTACTAATACACTGGTTCCTGACTGGTCAGTACCAAAATATTGATAAGCTGCTGGACAAAAGATACTGCCATCAGTATTAATGTGATGTTGCATAAAGAGCTGATGGGTAAAACATTAAAAAGTGTGGGCTCACTTTACTACTACTGAAAATGTGGCTAAATGCAATAACAGGAAATAATTTCACTTTTTATTTCTGTGATGTATTTATTTTTGCCACCAAATTATGGGAGTAGTATCAGAGTTCTAATAACTATAAGTATCAATAAGCAGTATCAGTATTGAAATATATTTATATATTTATATATATAAATATACACACACAATTTATTTCACATATTTGTTTACATAGCAGTCCTATCTACTCTTTACCTTTATTTGTTGTCCTTGTTCTCAGCTGTTATGTTATTCCTGTGTAAGTATGGTTGAGAGCCATGAAAAAAATCAAATTCCTTGTATTTGTATATGTCCAATGAAGCTGATTCTGATTTGATCATGAGCAGTAAAGTACTATGAGGTATAAAAGAGAACAATGTTTATATGTCATTATATAAGTGACTTGCTGTCTCTGTGTTACTGTGCTGCGATATAGATGGGTCAGGCACTGTGGAGGCTGCCTCCCAGACAACAGCAGCAGCTTCAGGAAGAGCTTGCCGACCGACTGGCTGACCGAGGAGGAGGAGGAGGACGAGAGCAAGGTAAAACAGGTTTTTTTCCCCATTAATACCGCTTTTGGCTCAGAATTTTGTAGTTTATGATGACTGCTACCAGACATCTTTGACATGCTTTTCATTTCAGATAAAATATGAGCTTGTTTACAGAAAAGGAAAAAACAAGTTCTGTGTTCCTTATACAGTAAATCAACTTTTAACTCAATGACTAAAATAAACCCACCTGAATATTTTTGGTCATGTTATTAAACTTAAAAGCTTAATTTTAAAAGTACCTGTTCATGTTTGAGGTAGCATTATGCACCTTCGATGTGAATAGAATGAAGACTGGATTCAATAGTTTTACTTTTTAAAGGTCCAGTATGTAACATTTTAAGATCTATTGGCACAAATGTAGTATATGAATATGATATTCGTAGGTATGCTTTTATTAGTGTATAATCACCTCAAGAAAGAATTGTTGTGTTTTTTGTTTCCTTAGAATGAGCAGTTTTTATTTACAGAGGGGCCGGAGTCCCCCATGTTGAACTGCCATTTTTCAACTGTAGCCCGAACGGACAAACCAAACACTGGTTCTAGATGGGGCCTTTCTTGTTTTTCACGCATTTCACAGCCATACTAGTTTCTCCTAGACAGGCAAGCGATATTCATTTGGTTGCAACTTCACCTTTAGATGTCTCTACCAGTGATGGGGAATAACGGCGTTACTTTTTTCAGTAACGAGTAATCTAATTGATTACTCTTCCCATCTTAATAACGCCGTTACCGTTACTGCCAAAAAATGCGGCGCGTTACTATAATTGAAGCTGTTTTTTTCATCAGACCAACTAGATCTCTGACCCGAGAGGCGAAGACTTTTTTTTTGCTGTTCTTCATTGGTTAGTGGGCAGTGCTCGAGACAAGCGCATAAATGCTGACGATTGGCTGAGGTTGAGTAACATTTCATGGTAAGCCAATCAGAGTTGGGGGGGGTGTTTGAAAGCACGCATAGTCGGACACATTGTGGCCTGTTGAGGGGCAATAAATATCAAAAGTTCCAAAACATCTATTGTGTTATTTGTATCGATCCACTACAGTGGGTACGGAAAGTATTCAGACCCCTTTCAATTTTTCACTCTTTGTTTCTTTGCAGCCATTTGCTAAAATCTAAAAAGTTCATTTTATTTCTCATTAATGTACACTCAGCACCCCATCTTGACAGAAAAAGAGAAATTTTTGCAAATTTATTAAAAAAGAAAAACTGAAATACCACATGGTCATAAGTATTCAGACCCTTTGCTCAGTATTGAGTAGAAGCACCCTTTTGAGCTACTACAGCCATGAGTCTTCTTGGGAATGATGCAACAAGTTTTTCACACCTGGATTTGGGGATCCTCTGCCATTCTTCCTTGCAGATCCTTTCCAGTTCTGTCAGGTTGGATGGTGAACGTTGGTGGACAGCCATTTTCAGGTCTCTCCAGAGATGCTCAATTGGGTTTAGGTCAGGGCTCTGGCTGGGCCAGTCAAGAATGGTCACAGAGTTGTTCCGAAGCCACTCCTTTGTTATTTTAGCTGTGTGCTTAGGGTTATTGTCTTGTTGGAAGGTGAACCTTCGGCCCAGTCTGAGGTCCTGAGCACTCTGGAAGAGGTTTTCTTCCAGGATATCTCTGTACTTGGCCGCATTCATCTTTCCTTCAATTGCAACCAGTCGTCCTGTCCCTGCAGCTGAAAAACATCCCCATAGCCTGATGCTGCCACCACCATGTTTCACTGTTGGGATTGTATTGGGCAGGTGATGAGCAGTGCCTGGTTTTCTCCACACATACCGCTTAGAATTAACGCCAAAAAGTTCAATCTTGGTCTCATCAGACCAGAGAATCTTATTTCTCATAGTCTGGGAGTCCTTCATGTGTTTTTGGCAAATTCTATGCGGGCTTTCATATGTCTTGCACTGAGGAGAGGCTTCCGTCGGGCCACTCTGCCATAAAGCCCCGACTGGTGGAGGGCTGCAGTGATAGTTGACTTTGTGGAACTTTCTCCCATCTCCCTACTGCATCTCTGGAGCTCAGCCACAGTGATCTGTGGGTTCGTCTTCACCTCTCTCACCAAGGCTCTTCTCCCACGATTGCTCAGTTTGGCTGGACGGCCAGGTCTAGGAAGAGTTCTGGTTGTTCCAAACTTCTTCCATTTAAGGATTATGGAGGCCACTGTGCTCTTAGGAACCTTGAGTGCTGCAGACATTCTTTTGTAACCTTGGCCAGATCTGTGCCTTGCCACAATTCTGTCTCCGAGCTCCTTGGGCAGTTCCTTCGACCTCATGATTCTCATTTGCTCTGACATGCACTGTGAGCTGTAAGGTCTTATATAGACAGGTGTGTGCCTTTCGTAATCAAGTCCTATCAGTTTAATTAAACACAGCTGGACTCCAATGAAGGAGCAGAACCATCTCAAGGAGGATCAGAAGAAATGGACAGCATGTGAGTTAAATATGAGTGTCACAGCAAAGGGTCTGAATACTTATGACCATGTGATATTTCAGTTTTTCTTTTTTAATAAATTTGCAAAAATTTCTACATTTCTGTTTTTTTCTGTCAAGATGGGGTGCTGAGTGTACATTAATGAGAAATAAAATTAACTTTTTTGATTTTAGCAAATGGCTGCAATGAAACAAAGAGTGAAAAATTTAAAGGGGTCTGAATACTTTCCGTACCCACTGTATATAAACATAATATCTACATACATGGCATTTGATTGGAGGCTAGTCTCACTTTGTCCCACAGCAACATTGAAATAGTTTAGATTTGTGTACATTGTTTCTGTTAATAATGTATTGTATTAAGTGTCCATTTCATTTCATTTTAATTCAGATTTATCATAAATAATTGAACATGCACATGTATTTTAAGTTATGTTAAAGAGGGGTGGAGGTGGAGTCACATTTGAGCATTTAAAAATTTACTTGAAAGTAACGCAATAGTTACTTTCTGAAGTAACTAGTTACTTTTATAATTTGTAACTGAGTAACTAATTTAGTTACTTTTTGGAAGAAGTAACTGTAACTAATTACTTTTTAAAAGTAACTTGCCCAACACTGGTCTCTACACACTGGTCCTTTTAATAATTTGACTTTTTAATGGGAATGATTGTGTTATTTGTCAAAAATATAATCACTCTTTCTCTTGAGTGACTCAACCAGACACAGAAGATGAGCAGTTTGCCTAAGACTGATCAATGTCAAAGATCTAAGACAATAAAAAGGACTAATGCTGTTTAAATGATCTATTACTCAACTATTTTGTCTCACTGGAATGTAAGTGATATTTTTGATAGAAAATGAAATCAACCAAAACTATTGAACAATGATATACACATAAAGTAACATAATGCACTGAAAACAACAGATAACATTTCAAGTAGCATAGTAGAGTTAAAAACACCAGCTACTACTACTGCCAAAAGTTAGAGTAATATTTATCACTCTCTATTCCAAATAATATGTAGTATCACCGGTAGTTTTCATCAACACTCTGTTACATGCCCTTTAGTATTACACGTATTAGTTTTCTGCTCCCAGCATTCCACACTGTTCCTTCTTTTGTCTGCTACACATTTGATCCCACCTGTCTATAATTGTTTCTTCTGCATTTCAGCTCAAATCAGTTTGTTTGTTTGCTATTGTTTTGCTCCTAACAATCTGTCTCTTTCTCATCGTTATGCTCCTATATTGAAAAAATATTTAAAGTGAAAGTCTTAAAAGGTAATCCCTTATAGTAACTCAGAATTAAAAAAACTTTGAAAGCCTATCATTTTAACCTGCTCATCAGTCTGGCCTCTTGCTCCTGACAGAACAGTAAATTATAGCTTTTGTTGGTATTACATGCTTACTTACATGCAAACTTAAGTAATGATATTTAATTAGTGGAGTTGCTGACATGTGTGAAAACACATCTGTGTGTGTGTGTGTGTGTGTGTGTGTGTGTGTGTGTGTGTGTGTGTGTGTGTGTGTGTGTGTGTGTGTGTGTGTGTGTGTGTGTGTGTGTGTGTGTGTGTCGGCTGTGGCTCAGAGGAAGAGCGGGTCGTCCACTAAACGGAAGGTTGTTGGTTCGATCCCTGGTTCCTCCCGCCACATGTCGAAGTGTCCTTGAGCAAGACATTGAACCCCGAAACCCCGATATTTAACCCCGAAAATGCAAACATTTTCCACCATTGTGGCAAGATTTACTCACCAAACGGAAATCTATGGTGCTTTGTGAGTGTTAATTTCGGACCCTGTCTGCAGTTGGTGACTTTTTCTCCTCTTTAGTCTGCATCTCAAAAATACATATTGATTATGCTTTAGAAAATAACATGAACACTATGAACTGTAGGAATAAATAAGAGCCAAAGATTAGAATGCATAAGTCTTTGTAATGTATTTATTTCTTAAGTTATGACAGTAACTAAGTGTGTCTTTTGCCACATTGCATGCAGGGATAGTCTTCCTTCCCTGTCATGCTAATAGTAGTAAGTTAAGACAGTGTATAAATGTATGAGTGAATGAAATACAAATTAAATGTGTGCTTTTCTTTTTAGGGAGAGATGGAGGTTCCCAGAGAAGAGCTCCCCAGCACTGTTATGGCCCTGACATCTACCATCTCCTCAGAACACGCATGGGAGGTATGAACACGCACTCAAAGGGCCACTGACACCAAGAACAATAACTATAACCTATCCCAATAATTTATGATAATATAAATTTCCCATTATCCACCAATAATTGATCTGTCCCGATCAGAATCGGGTTTATTGCCAAGTAAGTTTTTACACGTACAAGGAATTTGCCTTTGTGCATTGGTGCATATAAATCACACAAAAATAAAGTACTTTTTAAAATATAAATAAATAAAGATAAGGATAAAGATAGAAAGATCCAAACTGTATGAAAAAGGTATTTAAATCAGATGTAATATATGTATAATGTGCAGGATAGAAAAAACAACCGGAGTGCATTAAAGTAATGCATATATACAGGGTGGGTTTAAGAGACAGTGTCAATGGGGGTTCTGGGCCTTGTTGTGGCATGAGGTTTTGGTCTTGATGGACTGCAGTCTCCTGCCAGAGGGAAGTGTTTGTTTGTGTCCGCGGTGGGAGTGGTCAGCCACAATCTTGCCTGCACGCCTCAGTGTCCTGGAAGCATAGAGGTCCTGGAGGGATGGCAGATTGCAGCCGATCACCTTCTCAGCAGATCGAATGATACGCTGCAGTCTGCCCTTGTCCTTGGCAGTGGCAGCAGCGTACCAGATGATGAAAGGTGATGGAAGAGGTGAGGATGGACTCGATGATTGCGGTGTAGAAGTGCACCATCATCGTCTTTGGCGATGTTCAGCTCCCACTTAATATAATGAGGGTACCCAGGAAGTGGAAGGACTCCACAGAGTCAACTGGGGAATCACACAGGATGATGGGGGTCCACAACCATCTCCACTGTTTTCAGAGCATTTAGCTCCAGGTTGTTCTGGCTGCACCAGGTCACCAGATGGTCAATCTCCCTGGACTCATCTCCACCAGAGATGAGCCTAATGAGGGAGGTGTCATCCACGAACTTCAGGAGCCTGACAGACTGGTGACTTGAGGTGCAGCTGTTTGTGTACAGGTAGAAGAGCAGAGTAGAAAGAAGCAGCCTTGGGTGGGATCCAGTGCTGATGGTCTGAGAGTCAGAGACATTTGATGACCAACTCAGTCCCACAGCCACCCCTAAAAGACAAGAGACAGTTTGGCGTGATGTCTCTCAAAAATATATTTTTCTGTGCTCCAGATAACCCATTGCTCACTCAGGAATGAGGTATAAATACAAAATCATAGTCGAAAGCCACAAGTGGCCACCTGTAGTTTCCGCAATGTGTCTTGGAATTTGGAAGCAGCTGACCGGTTGTTCAGCTTAGTGAATCAACAACCGTTTAGTGCAGCATTTCCCAATGTTCCCTTCTCCCTATTTTTGTCATCCACAAGCAAAAACAATTTGCTGACAATTCTACTGCAAAGGAGCACAACATTTTTTTTATTTGTTTTTATAAATGTGTTGTATGATGTTTTTCTGATGCAGGTGTCATTTAGCTTGTTTTCTATTTTTGTCTCCCTCTTCTCTTTTCTTGGTGACTGTAGGGAAAGAACAGCATGGTTTTATAGATTTGGAGATGTTGCCACCTGAATTAGGCATCACCATACTGTCGTACCTTAATGCTACTGATCTGTGTCTGGCCGGCTGTGTGTGGCAGGACTTGGGAAATGACGAATATCTATGGCAGGGGTAAGGAATTTCACCTACAGCTTCATTGATCTTTTTGTGCTGAGTAAATGTGCTGATTGTGGTGATTTGGTTTAGGTTCATATGCTTCTCGGTGACCAGCAGTCATTCTGATCACTTTCAGATAATTGTGTCAGGTATTGTGTGATCTGACAGACATATAAAATAAACTGATGACAGAAAGTTCTAAGTACTGAAATTAGATAATATGTTGTTGCCAGTAGGGTCTGGTTCTATTCTATAACCCACGTGTGTTGATCCATCAGGCTGTGTAAGTCCACATGGGGACACTGCTCCATCTACAACAGAAGACTACCTGCTGGTTTCTCATACAGAAGACTTTACCTGCAACTAGATGAAGGAAGCCTGACATTCAATGCCAACCCACAGGAGGTAACACATGCCCAAACATCCAGGATCTTTAGATGCATACTTACTCATGGCATTTGTAATTGTGTTCAGTCTGGCTTAATAACTAGGTTGACATGCACAAAATATTCATTTTTATCGAGAGAGAGAGAGAGAGAGACTCTAATAGTAGTGTCTGATGATGAACATGAAGAAGATGATGGCGATGACGACAACAACGATGGGGGACAATGAGCAGTGACAATAGTAATTATAGTAACTGTATTAATAATAATAGTAATAATAATTATTAAAGCTGCAAGCATTGGGCGGGACCTCGCACTAAACGCAACTCGGGCGTGGTGCGGCCGCGTCACATGCCGTTGTAACACTTTAGGACCACCCCTCTCCCAAGCCCTCATCGCCAGAAGCTGAGGGAGACCACTCTACGCTGTCACACGTTTCAGACACTGCAAAAGACTTAACTTACGCTTTCATAGAGAGATTCTTCACTGCTTCACTGTGGAAATTCAGCGCCACGCCACGGACACACAGTTTGACATAAATATTTGATTAATTCATGATCTGTGTCTAGATTGCAGTGATCAAATAGGAAGTCAATATGATAAAATCTGTAGGAGTTAGTTAAAATGGAAGCCCTGAAATGCTGGAAATGGCATCACAGTGGCCGACTTTGACGGCACACCACGGACACGCCCTTCAGCTTACAGTCACAAATGTGAAATGTACTGACCAATTTTGAAGCACATCCGATAAATTCCCAAGGAGGAGTTCGTTCAAATACAAGGTGAAAATTCACAAAAAATGACCACGGAATTCAAAATGGCTAACTTACAGCACACCACGGACACGCCCTTCAACGTACAGTCGCAAATAGCACGGCGTTCATTCAGCAAAATTTTTTGATTGAACTGTCCAATTTTGAAGTAGATCCGATAAGTCCCCTATGAGGAGTTAATTCAAATAGAAGGCAAGAATTCACTAGAAATGAACACAGAATTCCATTCAATTCAATTAAATTTTATTTGTATAGCGCCAATTCATAACAGAAGTTATCTCAGGACACTTTTCAAATAGAGCAGGTCTAGACCGAACTCTTTGAAACATTAATTACAGAGACCCAACAGTACCACCATGAGCAAGTACTTGGTGACAAGGGCAAGGAAAAACTGCCTGTAAAAGGCAGAAACCTAGGACAGATCCTTCGGCTCTAGGTGGGTGGTCGTCTGTCTCGACCAGTTGGGGTGAGAGAGAGACAGAGACAGACAGACGCACAGCAACAACAGTATTGGCAATGGCAATCTAGCAGGACCATGGCAGGAGGCTCCACCACGATCGATAAGAACCTGCGAGACGAGAAAGCACAAGAACTCCGGGGAAGAAGTGAAGTTAGTAACATGCATTAATGGAACATGAATGAGTGCAGAAAGAGAGAGGAAGGGAGGAACTCAGTGCACCATGGGAAATCCCCCGATAGTCTAGGCCTATAGCAGCATACAGTGGGTACGGAAAGTATTCAGAGCCCTTTAAAATTTTCACTCTTTGTTTCATTGCAGCCATTTGCTAAAATCAAAAAAGTTCATTTTATTTCTCATTAATGTACACTCAGCACCCCATCTTGACAGAAAAAGAGAAATTTTTGCAAATGTATTAAAAAAGAAAAACTTAAATATCACATGGTCATAAGTATTCAGACCCTTTGCTCAGTATTGAGTAGAAGCACCCTTTTGAGCTACTACAGCCACGAGTCTTCTTGGGAAATGATGCAACAAGTTTTTCACACCTGGATTTGGGGATCCTCTGCCATTCTTCCTTGCAGATCCTTTCCAGTTCTGTCAGGTTGGATGGTGAATGTTGGTGGACAGCCATTTTCAGGTCTCTCCAGAGATGCTCAATTGGGTTTAGGTCAGGGCTCTGGCTGGGCCAGTCAAGAATGGTCACAGAGTTGTTCCGAAGCCACTCCTTTGTTATTTTAGCTGTGTGCTTAGGGTTATTGTCTTGTTGGAAGGTGAACCTTCGGCCCAGTCTGAGGTCCTGAGCACTCTGGAAGAGGTTTTCTTCCAGGATATCTCTGTACTTGGCCGCATTCATCTTTCCTTCAATTGCAACCAGTCGTCCTGTCCCTGCAGCTGAAAAACATCCCCATAGCCTGATGCTGCCACCACCATGTTTCACTGTTGGGATTGTATTGGGCAGGTGATGAGCAGTGCCTGGTTTTCTCCACACATACCGCTTAGAATTAACGCCAAAAAGTTCAATCTTGGTCTCATCAGACCAGAGAATCTTATTTCATAGTCTGGGAGTCCTTCATGTGTTTTTGGCAAACTCTATGCGGGCTTTCATATGTCTTGTACTGAGGAGAGGCTTCCGTCGGGCCACTCTGCCATAAAGCCCCGACTGGTGCAGGGCTGCAGTGATAGTTGACTTTGTGGAACTTTCTGCCATCTCCCTACTGCATCTCTGGAGCTCAGCCACAGTGATCTGTGGGTTCTTCTTTACCTCTCTCACCAAGGCTATTATTATTATTATTATTATGGAGGCCACTGTGCTCTTAGGAACCTTGAGTGCTGCAGAAATTCTTTTGTAACCTTGGCCAGATCTGTGCCTTGCCACGATTCTGTCTCTGAGCTCCTTGGGCAGTTCCTTCGACCTCATGATTCTCATTTGCTCTGACATGCACTGTGAGCTGTAAGGTCTTATATAGACAGGTGTGTGCCTTTCCTAATCAAGTCCAATCAGTTTAATTAAACACAGCTAGACTCCAATGAAGGAGCAGGACCATCTCAAGGAGGATCAGAAGAAATGGACAGCATGTGAGTTAAATATGAGTGTCACAGCAAAGGGTCTGAATACTTATGACCATGTGATATTTCAGTTTTTCTTTTTTAATAAATTTGCAAAAATTTCTACATTTCTGTTTTTTTCTGTCAAGATGGGGTGCTGAGTGTACATTAATGAGAAATAAAATGAACTTTTTAAAGAATTTTAAATTGGGGGGGGTGGGTTTTTTTTTTTTTTTTTTTTTTTTTCTGGTGTGGGGGGTTTTTTATTTAATGGGGGTTTTTTTGGGTTTTTTTGGGGGGGGGGGGTTATTTTTTTGTAAAGAAAGGAGGGTTTTCCTAGGGGTTTTTTTTTATGTGAATTAAATGACATGTCCTGATCAAAGATAACTCCAAAATTCCTGACAGTGGTGCTAGAGGCCAAGGTAATGCCATCTAGAGTGACTATATCTTTAGACAGTGAGTCTCTGAGGTTTTTGGGGCCAAGAACAAGAATTTCGTTTTTTTCTGAGTTTAACATCAGAAAATTGCAGGTCATCCAGGATTTTATGTCCTTAAGACATGTTTGTAATTTAGATAATTCATTAATTTCATCTGGCTTGATTGATAGATATAACTGCATATCATCTGCATAACAGTGAAAGTTAATGGAGTGATTCCTAATAATGTTGCCTAAAGGGAGCATATATAAAGTATTAAAAATGGCCAACTTTGACGGCACGCCACGGACATGCCCTTCAACGTACAGTCACAAATAGCACAACTTGTAATCAGCAACATTTTTCAAGTGTACTGACCAGTTTTGAAGCAGATCTGATAAATTCCCTAGGATTTTGTTTGTTGAAATACAAGACCACGGAATTCAAAATGGCCAACTGACGGCACACCATTGACACGCCCTTGAACGTATAGTCAGAAAAAAGCACGGCGTTCATTCATTTCATTCATTCATGTTGGTTTTGGGGCATTGGTCCAAGAGGCTTTTCTGTAGGTCTTGGCACGTTACACCTGCCTACCGAGGTTCATACGTATTGGTGAAACACTGTAGGGGGCGCTACAAACACGACAAACATGATTTTTGGTATGTGAGCTACAGGCACTAGTCTACACGTGCCCTGTCAATTTCATATTCATAACTATTACAGTCTCCGCGGAGTGATTTACACTGCCACCAGAGCGCCACCCAGTGGCGTGGTTTATTTTTCCTTTTTAAGTGAGCCTCAGGGAGCCATGGGCAATCACTGTACCAAGTTTCGTTTTAATCACACGTGCCGATGTGGAGATAAACTTCTCCGTTTTAGAGAGCGCCACCTTATGGCGATGGCCTGAAATTGTGCACGATGGTTAATGAAGACATAAAGAACTATTGACCCAAGGTTGGTGTCAATTGGACATACCAATGTGGAGAAATACTCCACTTCCTTTTTTGACGAAAAATCAACAGGTAGTGCTAATTTAATAACGTGCTTATTTTTTTAAACATAAAAACACTTTAAAGTCTCCAGATGCTAAGTGCAAAGTTTTGTGCGAATCGGACAAAAGCGCATGGATGGAAGACGAAAACGTAGTTTTTAGACATTTTGCGCTCTAGCAGAAAAAAAATCTAGGTGGACGTGGGTGTGGCCTATATAGGGAGATGCAGCTCCATTCACCAAACGTGTGGATATAAGGTTTTTGAATGTGAGACAAACAATGCGGAAGTTATTAGCCTAAACCTACTTTTCTTAATAATAGCGCCACCTAGTGGCCTACCCCAAAGCGACCATAGCATTTCAAAGTTTTCACCAGGCCTGACAACTTTGCCAAATAAAATTCACGTGGAGTATATGTTCAGGGGGTCAAAAATGCCGTCAACGTTCTTAATAATAATAACAAACGGAGCAAAAACAATAGAGACCTCACAGTATTTGACACTGGCTCGGTCCCTAAGAACAATAATATCAGTGATATTAGCAATGGCAGTCAAGCAGGACAATGGCAGGAGGCTCCACCAGGATCCATGAGAACCTGCAAGACGAGAAAGGAGAGAGGAGCTTGGTAACTGAAGGCTCTGGCTCCTGTTCTACTTTTAGAGACTATAGGAACCATAAGTAGCCCTGCATTCAGAGAAAGCAGTGTTCTAGTGGGGTAATAGGGTACATGAGCTCTTTAAGATATGAAGGGGCCTGACCATGAAGAGCTTTGTAGGTGAGGAGGAGGATTTTAAATTCTGTTCTAAATTTTACAGAGAGCCAGTGCAGAGAAGCTAGAACAGGAGAGATGTGAGCTCTTTTCCTAGTTCCTGTCAGTACTCGTGCTGCAGCGTTCTGAATTAAATGGAGCGTCTTAATGGACTTATTGGGGCAGCCTGGTGTAATATTACGTAAATGAAAGAAGGCTGTCCTAGAGGTTTGCTTTTTATGTGAATTAAATGACATGTCAAAGATAACTCCAAAATTCCTGACAGTGGTGCTAGAGGCCAAGGTAATGCCATCTAGAGTGACTATATCTTTAGACAGTGAGTCTCTGAGGTTTTTGGGGCCAAGTACAAGAATTTCGTTTAACATCAGAAAATTGCAGGTCATCCAGGATTTTATGTCCTTAAGACATGTTTGTAACTTAGATAATTGATTAATTTCATCGGGCTTGATTGATAGATATAACTGTGTATCATCTGCATAACAATGAAAGTTAATGGAGTGATTCCTAATAATGTTGCCTAAAGGAAGCATATATAAAGTAAATAGTATTGGTCCAAGTACAGAACCTTGTGGAACTCCATGACTAACTGTAGTATTTATGGAAGATTCATCGTTAACGTGTACAAACTGAGAACGATCTGATAAGTATGACCTAAACCAGCTTAGTGTGGTGCCTTTAATGCCAATTTGATGTTCAAGTCTCTGTAAAAGAATATCATGGTCATTGGTCAGTCAACTAGGCTGCTTAAAGAAGTTGTTCCCTTAATTGGCACTTCTTTACTGGATATGATTAATCTTTCTTTATTATCAGGATACCACAGTCCTTTAAAGTAGCTGTAATTAAACCCTTTCTTAAAAAGTCCACTCTTGTTGTCGTTTTAGCCAACTATAGACCGATTTCTAACCTCCCCTTCCTCTCTAAGATTCTGGAGAAAGTAGTCGCCAAAGAGTTGTGTGAATTTCTACATAACAATAGTTTATTTGAGGACTTTCAGTCAGGATTTAGAGTTCATCATAGCACAGAGACAGCTCTGGTTAGAGTTAATAATGACCTTCTGACTGCTTCTGACAATGGACTTGTCTCTGTACTTGTATTATTAGATCTTAGTGCTGCATTTGACACCATTGACCATAATATTCTTTTAGAGAGACTTGAGCATCAAATTGGCATTAAAGGAACCGCACTAAGCTGGTTTAAGTCATATTTATCAGATCGCTTGCAGTTTGTACATGTTAACGATGAATCTTCAATAAATACTACAGTTAGTCATGGAGTTCCACAAGGTTCTGTACTTGGACCAATACTATTTACTTTATATATGCTCCCTTTAGGCAACATTATTAGGAATCACTCCATTAACTTTCACTGTTATGCAGATGTTACGCAGTTATATCTATCAATCAAACCCAATGAAATTAATCAATTATCTAAATTACAAACATGTCTTACGGACATAAAATCCTGGATGACCTGCAATTTTCTGATGTTAAACTCAGAAAAAAACGAAATTCTTGTTCTTGGCCCCAAAAACCTTAGAGACTCACTGTCTAAAGATATAGTTACTCTAGATGGCATTAACTTGGCCTCTAGCACCACTGTCAGGAATCTTGGAGTTATCTTTGATCAGGATTTGTCATTTAACTCCCACATAAAGCAGACCTCTAGGACCGCCTTCTTTCATTTACGTAATATTAGAAAAATTAGACACATCCTATCACAGACAGATGCAGAAAAACTAATCCATGCATTTGTTACTTCAAGGCTGGATTACTGCAACTCTTTATTATCAGGTTGCCCCAATAAGTCCATTAAAACGCTCCAATTAATTCAGAACGCTGCAGCACGAGTACTGACAGTAACTAGGAAAAGAGATCACATCTCTCCTGTACTAGCTTCTCTGCATTGGCTCCCTGTAAAATGTAGAATTGAATTTAAAATCCTCCTCCTCACCTATAAAGCTCTTCATGGTCAGGCCCCTTCATATCTTAAAGAGCTCATAGTACCCTATTACCCCTCTAGAACACTACGTTCTCTGAATGCTGGGCTACTTGTGGTTCCTATAGTCTCTAAAAGTAGAACAGGAGCCAGAGCCTTCAGTTACCAAGCTCCTCTCTTGTGGAACTAGCTTCCAGTTGTGGTTCGGGAGGCAGACACCCTCACCACATTCAAGAGTAGGCTTAAGACATTCCTCTTTGATAAAGCTTATAGTTAGGGCTGGATCAGGTGAGTCCTGAACCATCCCTTAGTTATGCTGCTATAGGCCTAGACTATCTGGGGATTTCCCATGGTGCACTGAGCTCCTCTCTTCCTCTCTCTTTCTGCACTCATTCATGTCCCATTAATGCATGTTACTAACTTCACTTCTTCCCCGGAGTTCTTGTGCTTTCTCGTCTCGCAGGTTCTTATCGATCCTGGTGGAGCCTCCTGCCATGGTCCTGCTAGATTGCCATTGCCAATACTGTTGTTGCTGTGCACATGTCTGTCTGTCTGTCTGTCTGTCTGTCTCTCTCTCTCTCTCTCTCTCTCTCTCTTTCACCCCAACTGGTCGAGGCAGTCGACCACCCACCTAGAGCCGAAGGATCTGTCCTAGGTTTCTGCCTTTTAACAGGCAGTTTTCCTTGCCCTTGTTGCCAAGTGCTTGCTCATGGTGGTACTCTTGGGTCTCTGTAAATAATGTTTTAAAGAGTTCGGTCTAGACCTACTCTATTTGAAAAGTGTCCTGAGGTAACTTCTGTTATGAATTGGCGCTATACAAATAAAATTGAATTGAATTTAATTTAATTATGTGGTAAGCCATGGTGTGTGAGTGAAACTAGCTACTTTTGAAAATACGCATTTCAAAGAATTAATTGGATTTTAATAGATTTCTAAAAAATCTTCTAACTCTGCATGTTGTTTGTATGTTCATTTGCTTGTGTGTGTGTGTGTGTGTGTGTGTGTGTGTGTGTGTGTGTGTGTGTGTGTGTGTGTGTGTGTGTGTGTGTGTGTGTGTGTGTGTGTTAAATAAAATTGAATTGAATTGAATTGAATTGAATATTCAGACATGGCATTGAATTAAACACTGATGGAATTTCCTCCTTAAATTTAGCTACAGCACTATCAGATAGACAACTGCTGTAGGAAGTTTTGCCTAATGGCTTGTAATCTAGTAATAGGAATTCAAAAGTTTTTAAATAATAGTCAGATAGAAAATGATTATGTGGGCCCACTTATTTTTCTGGACACCACCTCGACATGGAATGACGACATGCGGCTGTACATGTCATCACTGGTCAGATTGGACAGGAGTCCAGAGAAAACTACCGGGTACCGAGTCCGGCATTGTTTTAGCATAATTACACACCGACTCCACATTCATTTTTGTGACCTCTGAATTAAGACTCTGTTAGACCTACACCCAGAAGATATATAATTCTCTCTTTCTCTTTGTGTGTGTAGGGTATCAATTATTTCATGTCTAAAGGTATACTAGTGGATCATCCCACCGAGCTGGCTAAATTCATCTTCTACACCAGACGGCTCAACTGGAAGATGCTGAGGATTTACCTGGATGAGAGGTTAACACAAGAAAACTCACACCACATTTACAGGGGGATACTTATGTGACAGCTGTATTGTGTGATACATCTATGTGATACAAAGGTCTAATTATTTCACTGTGGTGTGGTTTTATTTAGTGTGTCAACTATGAAATTAAATATACATGTATTGGTACCCTTTTCCTTTGAAATTAGAATGCCACATCTAATAATTCACTTTAACTTTCTGTGTAAAAAAACCTCTGCCATTTAGTCTGTTTGTTTATCTGCAGACGGGATGTCCTGGACGAGCTAGTGACCCTCCATAACTTCAGTAACCAGTTCCTCCCCAACGCACTGCGAGATTTTTTCAGACACATCCATGCACCGGAGGAGAGAGGAGAGTATCTGGAAACCCTCATCACCAAGTTCAGCCACAGGTTTTGTACCTGTAACCCTGGTCTTGTCCGAGACCTGGGCCTCAGTCCTGGTTAGTACTGATACACACACATACAGTATATACTGAACACATACTGTACCGATTCAAATCCATATCCAAAACACTAGAAGAAAATTACTTAATTGTCAATGTACACAAGGCAACTGAAATGTCTTCTCATACATAGAGTCCCCAGAGAACATAGTCGCCTGCACTGCAGCACCCCCTGGAGCAGTTTTAGGGTTCAGTGCCTTGCTCAAGAGCAGATCTGATGCCAGCCACACTTCAGTCTGGCCTCCTGAAGGTGCTGGGGACTGAACCAGTGATCTTTTGGTTACTGGTCGACCTTTTTTTAAATCTAGACCTCCCTTATTGGAGTAGTGAATGCTACTGCTGTCCACCAGGTTATACTTAAATGGATAGTTCGTGTTTTTTGTAGTGGAGTGTTTTCTGCACTGTATTTACGCCGCAGGTCAGCTGTTTGGGTCAGCAGTGCGGCCTGTAAAATAACAAGCACACCGATAAAATCTTTGGAATTGGTCTAAATCACTGCTTCCTAACCTGGGGCTCCCAACCCCCACTAGGCATTCAAAGGGAGTCATGAGGCCTTCTTGATTTTAAAAGGGTGTAATAGTAATATTAATAGTAATCAAATCTGATCTTTATAAAAAAAAACTCATGACTTATATGTTCATGATAAGCAGGGTGTCTCCTTTTTCTACAAAAGTGAAGTTAAAAGAACCATGTTGTAATGAGGGTCGTCTCTCCTGTGGGTGTCTGCTTGTGTTCTTGTTCTAACACATACACCTTTATTGTAAAATTAAATACTACTGATTTTAGTTGAACGGACAATAATGAGCTATTCAAATAATAATTATTAACAGATTGATATATTCATGTTAAACATATATGTGGGATTTATCTTTGCTGATGATACGTTGGATTCATGTTAGATTTGTGTTTTGTGTATCAGACATATTTCAAATTTAAAACATAAAAGCTTTCAATATTATCAAATAATAATTTTGAGATCATGAATGTCTAAGATTAGGTGGTCAAAGAGAGGAACTGTAATGGAATGAAAAGAAATGGATTGTGAAACAAGTCAAGTAGGTTTAATTGTAATCTTTCCATCAGATGTTGTATACTAGTGGAAGTTTTCAAGGTTAAGGGTCACACAGTCATCAGGCTACCTAAATGTACAGATAATTAAATGGCATTACAGTTATTATTTTATTTAAACTACATATACCAAATTATACTTTTAGAGTTAACGGTTAACACCATATTTGATGACATTTATTTTTTATTTTATAAAAAAAAAACGTTTTTCATAAAGATCCACTTTAGCTATGTTACACTCAACATATTTTTGGCATTTCTATCCCATACATTTATGTTACTTATCGGCCAACATAAATGCAAAAAAATATATATGTGGTAAGCTAAAATCACCGGTTGTACATAATTGTACACAAGTTGTAATTACAGTTGTGTACAGAAGGTGGCAATAGAGGAAAGCTCAGGGATTGTCCCATATGAAAGAGGCTTTATCCACCGTAGAATATGAATACATTCACTGTATTACAAGGCAGTGCAATAAGATTTTAATATTTATGGTCACAATTTTTAATTGTTAGTCAGAATTGTCCTCTTTGAACCATTAATATCCAGTCTATCCTGGCCCTAGGCAGACATCACCATGCTCACAACCTGCAGCTAGAAGGCCAAAACCTGCAGTGACATTAGAAGTGATTTTGAAGCAACTACACTCTTGACCCGTCAGCCCAACCACTAAATGGGTGGGAAGCTGTAAAGGTTTTATTTTTAAGTAATCCCTGGCTTCAGTTGTCAATGGACTGTGTACTTACCAACTGAGGGCTTTGTTAATGTCAGCAGACCATTCAGAAACCAATCCCTTACTGTTAACTTCTTGGACCTACTCAAATGATTAGTAGGATTAGTGTAATTGTTTGGAGCTCAAGGCTAGAGATGGATGGATGGCTGCCTTTTCATTTCACTGCTACTCTGCCCCCCAACCCTCTCTGGAAAGAGAGCACTTCTGTGCCCAATCCTTTCTTAAACAAATAGCTTTATTAATATCTAAGTTAGATATTCTTCTCTCTTACTCTTACTATAAAATTTGCAGACACCAATATATATATATATATATATATATATATATATATATATATATACGTATATGTATATAATATATTGCTTTATACTTAAACTATAAGGTAGGTGAAATGTAATTTGAAATAAGTATACCGGTATTGGTGAGTACGTGTCTGTGTACCGATCTGATACCACATAATATGGTAAATGGACTGTATTTGTATAGCGCCTTTCTAGTCTTCCGACCAGTCAAAGTGTTTTACTGTTTATGCCACATTCACCCATTCACACACTGAGGCCGTCACAAACAGAAACTAACTCAGTCACTCACATTCATACACCGATGCCCAGTATCAAAACCAATATGTGGTTCAGTATCTTGCTCAAGGACAGCGAGAAAAAAGCCGTCCCACCCCAATATGTCTGCGATTGATATAGATCAGTTGTGCTCTGTCTTTGGTGCCACACAACTTAGTTTTGTGTGAAAGCTTGTGAGAAACAAACAGTCCTATTTGATCATGACTTACTGTGGTCTCTCTGCAGATGCTGTATATGTGCTGTGCTACAGTCTGATCCTGCTGTCCATCGACCTGACCAGCCCCCACGTCAAAAACAAAATGTCCAAGAGGGAGTTTATCAGGAACACTCGCCGAGCGGCACACAATGTCTCGGATGACTTTGTAGGCCACCTCTATGACAACATATACCTGATTGGTCATGTGGCTGCATAGCTCCACCTACCAGATACCCAGAAGAAATCCTCAGACTGCACTGAAGAGTAGGAATTGGTGATTGGGTTCCTATTCATGTCTGGACAGTATGGAACATTTTAAAAGTGGATTGTCTTTCAAGAAATATAGCAAAAATCTTACTCGAAAGATTAGAAAAACAAATCGGCCACTGCACTGTGAGATAGACTGTGTTACCAAAAATTAGTAATGTTATTAGTTTAAGGTGTGAAAAAGACTTAAAGTGGAACCATGAAGATGAGCTCTGATGCACTGATGGTTGGATGGGTACTACTGATTGGTGAAGGAACGAGGAGAAGCACTGTCCTCAGCCTGTCACAGATGCTGGGACAGCCATTCTGATTTCCTATTGGACAGGAGCTGCATCACGTTCACCATTAGGACAAACACTGGTCAACATTTGTAGGAAGTGACACAACAGGGGACCTTAACACAAGGCTATCCCTCACTAATATCACTAGTAGCATTTATCAGGGTAACAAATGACAAAGGTACGTTGGGGCTTTTCTCCTCCTCAGTTGACCTTCAAACACTGTCCAGTGGTAACAACAAGAATGTCCAAGTGTCAAGATTCAACTAGACCTGATTTTTGTGGCTTATACTGGGAAGAGCTGAGATGAAGCGCTTTTGCAATGACAGAAAAATGCTGCACGTAGGTTTTGTTTCTATGACAACAACATCTTGACAAATTCGCTATAAGCTTAAAGAAGCACAATGTTGTAAAACTGTGGGCAAAACAGGTGGAAATATGGACATTTTTAAAATGTTCTACTTTTTATTGCTGTTTTCTCTCTCTCTCCTCTCTCTCTCTCTCTCTCTCTCTCTCTCTCTCTCTCTCTGTGTGTGTGTGTGTGTGTGTGTGTGTGTGTGTGTGTGTGTGTGTGTGTGTGTGTGTGTGTGTGTGTGTGTGTGTGTGTGTGTGTGTGTGTGGCAGTTGAGCCCCGCCCTCAGCCTAATAAGCAGAAGAGAGAGACAGAGAAGCGCTGTAGAGAACTCTAAGCATAGTTTTCATTCTTTTCGATAATTTCTTCTCTGTCTCTGTTCTTTCTGTCTGACATATCATAAAGCTCAAGATAGACAGACACCGTCAGATCAAGATTATCTGCAATTGTCTTGGTTACTAGTGATGAGTCCCCCATCTAATATTTGATTGGTTGCCTGAAAATAAGCAACAACACCAGCACCTTTCTGGTATGGTCTTGGAAAAAAGGCCACTGGCTGCAGCGCTTTTTCTCTAGGTGGCCACATGCTGCTGCATATGCTCTCTCCACAGTGGGAACAACTGGAAAAAAAACCTTCAAGGAATCTGTACATCTCTGTACCTTTTAATTGATCCAGTCTGAAATATTAATATTAATTTTGCATTATTTTTTTTTTACTTGTGTATTTTATTTTTGGTCTCCTATTTAAACTCCAAATTCATTCAAATTATAGCATTGTCATTCCAAAGTCAGACCATCTGTACGTGACTCTGTCAATACCTAGGAGAACATTCTGGTCTGGTGAATGCCACAAATGTGAAGTTATTTAACATGCATGAATTCAAATTGATTTCTTTATAATTGATGGTCACACAAGTAAAAGTAAAGTGAAATGCACATTTAATATTTTCATCGTTATGGGAACCAACTAGCTAAACTTTTTGCAAGCTTTTGTCCAGATCCTGATTGAAATTGAATGTATTTAACAGTTTCTCATATATGATGTTAGGGAAATGTATAATGACACTGCTCTGGAGGTGACAGCAAATAGAACACAGCAGCTTCTATGTTATTCTGCTTTATGAAGAAAATTGTGAGTTTTACAGCTCAACTTTTCATCAGGGTTTGATGATGGACCCGACTAATTCTGGTGAAGTCAAGTGTAGAGAAGGATAATGCTTTGTGGAAACATTAAGGATTTACATTAAGTGAGTTATTCTGCAGTTTTGGCTCTTGAATGGTCATGGAAGAAAAAAACACTATCTTGAGTCCGTGGATGACAGTGCAGTATATGAAGTGCTTGTGTTTTAAAAGCAATACTGCTATGATTTATAATATTTTTGAATATTTTTTCATTGTTTTCAAAAATCCCTGGAAAACAGATATTACGTATAATATACACTGGTACACATATTTGTATTTAACATGATGACCAGTGTGGCAAAGTAATTGGGAAAATATATGTGTAATTTAAAATGATGGATTACATTTGTCAGTACAAGAATGTGAGTAAGCTGTTTTAATGGATTTTTGAAATAGTGGAAGTCTGTTATTATAATGCAGGGAACACTACAGTGGCACCTGACTGGAAAATACATGTAACTGTTGGCCAGAGGTGTGGACTCAAGTCACAAGTTTGAAGACTTAACTTTTGACTTTGAACTCGACTTGGACCAGTGACTCGTGACTTCACCCGGGCTTAGCCTTTTGATTTAAAAATACTTGACATCTTCCCCTAAGCCCAAACATTAAAAAATATGTTAATTAAAGTGTTCCAAGAATCAATTCATTATTTATTCCTCCATAAAGTGGGTGAGTAACTCTTTTCATTTCATTTAGACATAAAACATGTAACCGCCACTGTAAAGCAACAGTATCAGACTTGGTTGTGTGATTTGGCGCCCCTGTTTCAATCCAACTGTGGTAAATATGGACAGCTGTACATTTGTTGATTACATTACTTATGATCAAAAACGGTCTACAGTTTTGCTAATGCCTTTGCCAAACATCAAGCAAGTACAACAACACACAACATAGCAAGCAGCTAACATTACTGACTGGTCCAACAGCAAGAAGGCCAGCTCACAGTCTTTTATTTCACCAAGCTCTCACTATCGACTTAAAGCCAGTCCCATGTTTACTCTTGACTTGTCTGTGGTCCTCTGCCATTAGCTGTGTCCGTAGAAGCTGCTGAGTCCACTTACACTGTCGCTCGCCCGTCTCTGGTTCTGGCACTGCAATGGTGTGGTTCTTCGTCAGCACCACCCCCATTCCCGGTGGAGTGTTTGTGTAGAAAGGTAGAAAAGTTGCATGATGCAAATTATTTTACAAATTTGGAAAATTTAATATTACAGACATTGTTCCAATATGAGATGAGTTAAACACAAAAACATACAAAATCACTTCTGTTGTGGTGCAGTACTGGTTAATAGAGCTGTATGCATTGAAAGTGTCATGTCAACACTACTTTCTTATGTTCAGTCACATTTTGTGTAAATTCAGTATATTATCAGTGTTGTTAAATGGCATTGCACTTGGTGAAGATCGCATTATGACTTGTTTAGGACTGGACTTCAGTGCAGTGACTTCAGACTTGTGACTTGAAAATCAGTAGTGCCTCTATAGGCATGCTAGTGGCAGAAGAGTTTAAAAGCCAGTCTGGAGTAATGGTGGTGTACAGATACAAATACATTAAATATTACATCTGTTAATTTTAAAAATAGATCAAGGCCCATCAGACCTGAATGCAGCATGATAGTCGCTTTGTGCTAGTAGAGTCTCAGCAGCTAGCATGAAGCCATAGCTAACAGTGTAATGTCACACTGAATATAAGGAACTGACAGGATGACACAGTTTTGAATTTCTTTCTTTTTTTTTTTTTTTTTTAATAAGGAGTTTATATCATAATCTGGATAGCTGGTTGGAACCAACCAACATTATTTATTTTTTTATATTGTTTTCTCTCCTGATAGAAGAGCCTGTTCATTGGATTGTAAATCTGACCATGGCTGAACTCACAGCATTCATTTTATTAAAGATTAATTATTGCTGATCAATGATTTCTTGACATTATGAAGGAAAGCCACTTTCTGTGATGTGTTTTATTCTTTATAAGAAGACTTTATGACTGATAAAATGTATTGAGAAATTGTTCTAAATGTTTGATATATTAAATCTGCGTTTGATTTTACTGACCTGTTTCAACCACCTGCACTTATACAGTATGAAAATGTAGACAGAAGTAGTCACTTCATAGACAGAAATGATGCACCACTCAGTTGATTTAATCTTCTACTCTGAATATTTGGTTTAGTTATAGATGGTTGTTCCTTACTAGATGAAGGTGTTGCTTGCAGAGACCAAGCCCTTAAAATAATGAAAATGGATTTCAGTTTAAATGCATTAAAGAAATGGGAACCGGTCCATCCATTGTTGTCCTGTCTAAGCTGTGAAGTGCGTTCATTCTTCTGCTATTGGTTCAGTTACGTCAATACAAATCCTACTTGAAACCTTTTACTTTGAAACAGGCTACACTGCTTGGTGCAATTCTGTGTGTGTGTGTGTGTGTGTGTGTGTGTGTGTGTGTGTGTGTGTGTGTGTGTGTGTGTGTGTGTGTGTGTGTGTGTGTGTGTGTGTGTGTGGTGTGTGGTGCGTGCGTGCGCGTGCGTGCGTACGTGCCTCTATTTAGATCAAACAGCCAAAAGACAAAATCCACTCCAGACACAATATGACCTTTGACACTTGACCTGCGTGTTTATGTGTGCGTGTGTGTGTGTGTGAGAGAGAGCGAGAGAGAGAGAGAATGACCTATACCTGGGTGGTGTTTGTTTTATGTACTGCAAATGAAAAGCGAGTAGAGGGCAGAGATACATGACCCTTATACACACACACACACACACACATACAGATAAGGTTCACAACTACATTTGGATCCTGTGTATATTTAACTCTATCTACAATGAAAACAACTGACTTATCATCTTCAGTAGCACCAGATTTAGTAGTAAACATTTAAATACATCACTGATATTTTTTATTCATTAAAAAAGTACTGGTATATTAGAGAGAAGTCTTTATTACATGCTGTGAGTTGGAACTATGCTTCCCTATTCTGCCCTTCTGCATTTTTTAATAACTTTGAGACACTGTAAAAGCAAAAAAAATGCAGGAAAATGGTAAGACACACAACAGCATCAATACAAAAATAAATACCTGCAAAAACACATAAATATATCAAAAATGATAAATCCAATGTTCAATCAATATATCATTAATCAATATTATCCACATTTCTCTGTCCTGTTTTATCGCAGACCTCCCTGATCCCTGTCACCAAAAACAGGTGACATTATAATACATATTAGCTTACATATTCCATTACGGAAGTGTAAATAAAAAAACTAGGGCACAGGTTGGATAAATAATGAATATTAATTTCGTAAACATAATACAACCAGGAGCAGAAAACAAATCTACTGAATAAATATATCCATGATAATAATGCATATAGTAAAATGATAATGATTAAAAATACACTTAAATAAATGGTCTGTACTCATATAGCACCTTTCTAGTCTTTCGACCGCGCTGTACACTTACATGCTACACTCACCCCATTCACACACATTCATACACTGATGGCAGTGGCTGCCATGCAAGGTGCCAACTGCTCTTCAGAATAGAAACTAATCATTCACATCTCACTCATACACCGATGCACAGCTTTGGGTCCAACCTTCCGATTAGTGGATGACCAGCTTGTTTCACTTTTTTTGTGGTTCTCCAAATTTGGTCCACAGTATGCATCCCATTCTAAGATGTTCTCATGTGCTCCATTACTTTTAACTTGTCCCATTAGGTCCCTCCATTTCTTACATGAAGGCTTAGTTTCTGAAATCAGTTTGTTATCATCAATATTATAATAATAAACCCTGTTTATATAAAAATGACTAAAGGTGAAAATACACACTATTCTATGTTATTCTACTGAAAGGATCAATTTAACACAGATGTTCGTCAAGCATACAGACTCCCTCCTGACAATTTTCTCCCTTTAGGCCTCACTCTCAGAAAGTATGTGTATAGTGTCCACAACCAATGTCTTTGTTAACAGTCCAAAACTCCAAAAGTATTTAGACTGACATGGAAGGAAAAAGTCCCACAATGTAAAAAAGTATAAAAATATATAAAGTATTTCTAAGAAATAATATAAATAAACTTTATTCATGAACAATCTCCACTGATAAAAGTATGTCTCACAAGAGAAGAAGACGTATGTTTATACTGGGGAGACTCTACTTGATTACTTCAGCGTGAAAGAAGGAAAACCAACTGTGCCACTGTGAGTGTGGCTATCACGGGTGTGACAGCAATTCATTAATGGAGCAAATTAATGAAGACCAGATGTGAAAAACTGAATCTCGATTTGTATTCAAGAATTTATGAGAGCTGTCTGTTTCAGTGATTAGGTCTGAGCTGAGCTCAGTGACTGGTAAAGCACATTTGTGATAGAAAATATATATTTGTATATATTATATTTTATGACCACATTAGGGATTCTAATGCACTCAGACCAGACGCAGTATTAATGACATTTAATTTTGGATCAGCCAATCATCGACATTCTATCACATTAATCCATAATGGATCTCGAGCAGAATGCACGACTACAGTGACACATGGTGCACGAGATTTGAATATGACACGTGACTAAAATCTACTAAAAGATTCATATTTTTTGTATTGACCTTTGCATTGAATGTGCCTGTAGTTGAGAATCCAATGATTATATGTTTGTATGGATGCAAGGAACAATGCTGCTGATGCCATGTTGCCACGACATCTCTCTCTCTCTTTCTCTCTCTCTCTCTGTTTGTGATGACGATGATGATGATGAAGGGGGTGGTATTTATTTAATTCAGCTTAGACCGGTGGGCCCAGGTCGTTGTCTGGTGGCGTCCCAGTCCAGAGAGCCTCACTTAAGCCTGATGGAGATGATGGATGGCCTCCTGAGCCCTAGAGTCTCTGCACTTCATCAGCATGATGCTGACACACACACATACACACACACACGCACACACACACACACACGCACACACACACAAACACAGCAGGCTGGTTCACACTGTGCTCCAGCTAACACACAACATTGACACTACTGTTACTACGGTTACAACCAAGACTCATCCATTACCAACTATTACTGCTGCATACATATACTAATTACATTATTATTGCTTTCATACAAAGACTGTAAAGAAAATGTGATTTATTTATTGTGCTTAATTTATCCTCAGCACTTAATCATGTAAAATATTTTTTATGATTCAATCATTTTCATTGTATATAATGTTTGTGTATATTTTGTTTTTACAAGTAGCATAAAGGGAACTGCAATCATCACACAACCCTGTGTTGTAAAATAACAAATGACCTTGTATCCTTGTATTATGTAATATTTTTTCTGCACTTTATTTTTATTAGTAAAATTACATTTAACAAGTTAATAGATAGAAGTTGACAATACTACTGAAAATGAACTGTTTGTAGTGCAGTACTTTGGCTGGTTGCGATGGTTAACTTAATATGTAGAGGCATTTGTCAGTATGTATATGTTTAATTTTAGATCATTATTTACAAGTATGTTGTGAGTATGCATTGTTGATTGCAAGCACATACAGTATTATGATATGTGTCCTATACGAAATTAAATGTTATTAATTTATTTTTAACATATGCACAAAAAACATGTGTTATTTTGTTCTGCTTGTTATGTAGTTTTATGCTTGCTTTAAGGATTTTTCATCACAAATTACCTTAACTACAAATACAGTGGTCAGAACATCTTGCTAACACTGTTACTAATCATAATGACAATAAAATGAGAAATATAAAATTATCTCATAATCAAAGTTGATTTATTCGACAGCATACACAGTAAAAGCTGTGCCGTGCAGAAGGCTGACAGCACGGCTATATAATGATTGAGAGAGAAAGGAGAGCAGCAGGCAGAGAGACAGAAAGCAGAAATGGTGTAAATCCTCCTGTGTTTGGAGGAGGTGGTTTCTGTGGTTTTGATGGCTCTGTTTTCGAGGGCTTTAGCTTTGATTTAGCTCACAGTGACAGAAAAAGCAGTTAAGGGGCCAAAGGTGTGTTTAGAGCCTATGAAAAGTGCCTTATAACCCAACCTGGAAATTTTATACTGGAATTTATAATATTATTTCACTATGAGTTTGACTTAAACGGTAAGTTTTACAATTAGACAGTGATAATGTGTGAGATATTTCATTCCAACTAGGGCAAATAGCTGTTTACTGCAGTGTTACTGTTACTGTATGAGAGATGTTGTCTTTATTTAGTTTTCATCTTTCACCATTTATTTCATCATCATCATCATCATCATCATCATCATCATCATGCTAACTTGCCACTTTAAAGGGACATTGTGTGACTTTTAAACAATAATAATAATAAGAAGAAGGTTATAATTTTCATTCAAAAGTGGCATCATCTCTTTAAACTGTGAATTGAAAACTGGAAACTGACTGGAATAGCACTGGACTTCTGGAACAGTAAACATAAAATAAATCCATTGTTATAGTATGCATTTCATTTTTAGTCTCTCATTAAGCCATGTTGAGTTCATTTTCAGTTGAGGAAGTGGTCCAGTAGTGTGATGTAGAAACTTGAAGCCACCTTTTTAATCTCCTCTCCAAAACTACTTTCTTCTTCTTCGTCTTCTTCGTCTTCTTCTTCTTCTTCTTCATCATGTCTTTTGCTTCTGGTCCCACAGGACTGGTCCATCCCTCAGGTCGGGTCCCCCTAGTGGCCTGGCGCACTTCCGTTTTGTGGAGCGAATTTGCAGCATTTTTTCTTTTGCAGTTGTTTTGTGGGTTTGTAAGTTTTTGCTTCTGCTTCGTTTCTGTGATTGCAGCATTTTTCTGTTGCTGCGTTTTTCTGTTGCATTTGTTTTATGTGTTTGTGTGTTTTTGGATTTGCATCATTCCTGTGTTTGCAGCGTTTTGCCGTTTGCGGCGGGTTTGCCCTTGTCGGCCACCGTACTTTAAGCCCTTATTTCTGCCTGAGTTAGATGTCTGTGCTGTGAACTTGCTGTCTACTGTCAGCATGCTATGTTGCCATCGCCACTCTGTCCTAATGTATTTGCATGCACATTTTTCAATATGGCCTTGCTTTTATTGTGCCAGACTGATTAATGTTTATTATGCACGTTGCTCTTTATATCTGTGTAATGCAAACTTCTCTTACATATTTCCATTAATGTATATAATAATATTCTCTTTTTACTATTGCTGCTTATAAACCATTTTTAATAATTATTTAAAGTTTAATATTACATTTTCTTTTTTAGTCTTACTTTATTCTTTTTTTATATTACTTTAAGTCTTGGACCACATATGACAAACCTTT